TTTTTTCCCCTTCATTTTATTTTTCGTATCGAGGAGTCGAGGTTTTGTTGATTTCTTCGGATTTCGATTACTGTAACTTCTCTTCTATTCGGCCGATTTTTATGAATGAGGTCTCTTTTTATTTGTGTTTTAACGGAGAGTAAGGAAAAAATTGCTAAATACATGCGAAACAATTTTTTTTGAAAATTGGATGAATCCTAGCGTGACGGTGAAATGGTTAATGAAGCGTGAGTAATTGGGGTACGGGTATCGGCCGCGTTGGGACCCAAGGCCCATTGTTCTTCGTGACGCCGACGCAGTGATCAGGAGCGTGGGGACGAGAGGGCTTAGTGGACTCCTGTATGAGCCACGTTTAGCAAATGGTCTAATGAGTCTCGAGGCTCATCACAGATTGCACTTACCACTATCCTGGTGGCCCCGGCTATCAGAGCAAGGAGTACCAACTTTTGAAAAGGATAACAGTGTTGTGGAGAAATGTCAAAGCAACGTTGTGAACAAAACGGAGTGAGTGAAATTCTCATTCAAGGAGTGCCGAACTGGTCAGCCATCCTCGAATCAGTTCGCTTGCTTCCGCTTATATATGCATATTTTAAATCAGCGCGCCCCATTCTAAGGTTTTTTTAAAAAAAACCAAGAAACGTAGACTCTTGGTATTCATTACACATGAACTAGCGAGCCCCAGAATGAGAAACAAATTTTAATCATTATTATTGACGGATTAGTAAACTTTTTACACGCTTTGGAAAATCTCAGAAGTTCGCGGTAGTCACTTTTCGGTAAGGAACTAGGGGACTCGGTTATTNAAAAAAAAAAAAAAAAAAAATTATGATTCTAATTGAAATTTTTGGAACTTTTTGGCTTTGCTTTCCCCGCGGAATGGTGTAGACTCGGCATCATTTCACCACCTTGTTACCTACAGTTCAGGCCATTTTTCAGTGTTTTTTCTCATACTTATGTTGACAGAGGAAACTTTCCTTTTTATTACCTATTTCCTTAAAATTACTCTGAAGGTTTTCTCTTCATTAGATAGTTGAATTCTTTATCGAATATTTAATGATTCCATTAATTCCTTCTGGATAGAAATCAACGATTGCTTGAGTCGTCATCTTATTTGTTTACTTAGATAAGGCCGTCAGCGCACCATATTAGCCTATTTTTCGCGGCCCATGAAAAACCGCCACACAAATGGGCATACTCTGTCCATATAGAACAGATACATTAAGACTCGCTCCTTGTGGACCGTGGCATTCGTTGGAAATTGGTAGAATTTGGCAAGGAGGGCGGGCTTGGATTGGCGGCGACTGTGAGTTAATTTATGAGCGGGCCAGGCAGACGGTGGTGAAGTGTGAAGTCTTGCGAGGATAAGCAAGCGCCGCATCGCAACAACCCGACCGCACAGCAGTCTCGGCGACTTGGTGGCAAATCCGACAGATGGTTCAACATCCAACATCCAACATAAGCGCCAGGCGTACCCGATAAACGACGCCAACGAACGTCGAGCGACCGCGGTCACGTGTGTTGAGTGCACTCCGCAATGCGTGCCACTGCGACAACTCAGCCCTAGATTAGACAGACCGATCGTCACACCAATTGCCGGGTTGCCGTTTGGCTAACATAGCTCCACAAGACTAGAGTGCAGTCCCTTTAAGGCCCAATTCACATTTCATTCAACTATCTTTCCGTTTTTGACGAATGAAGAGTTTGATCGTGTGACATTGACGTGGGAACAAGACAATATGATGGAAAGTTGAAAGAAAATTTTAAATGTGACGTCGCGTACAACTATCTATCAAAATGGACGTATTTCTGCTAAACGCACTTTGGGGGGAGAGGGGATTTGAGCCAGCGTTACGGTGCGTTATAGGGGGGGGGAGGGAGGTCAAGCCCAACATTACGTCGGTAACAAATCCGAGCGGGGGGAAGGAATTTGACAAAAACATGCAAAAAGTTGAAAATCCCGCCTTTCCCAAATGTATTTTTTCATGTTTCATGTTTCATGTTTCATGTTTCATGTTTCATGTTTCATATTTCATATTTCATATTTCATGTTTTTTTATTTTTATTTTATTTTATTTTTTTTTTATTTGAGGGGATCAGGCTTGCGTTACGTAATGAAAAAAGAGGGTAGAGCTGAGTTACGGGTGCTTTATAAGGGGGAGGGGGGAGTCAAAAAATCGGAAAAAATGCGTTACGTAATACTTGAACGGCTCCTTAGCAGAAATACGTCCAATTAGCGGCGCCAATAGAAAACTGAACGGAAACTTGGAATGAAATCTTTCGACCGACATTACCCAAAGCTAATCTATGTTCTTGAACTGGGAACTGCCTGCGTGCTGATCGAAATTGATTGACAAAGCGATAGACAAAGAAGACATAAGGGGTATGGAGCGACCCTGCTGGTTGAAATGGGTGATAGACTATGGGAGAAAATGATAGACTAAGTATGTAAAGGATCTCTCGTGGGTTGCCGTTAATGAGTCCATTACCTACCTTCTTTGGAGCCCTTGGATTCCTACTTCCACCGATAGGATCCCTCAATATCCTTTATATCTTCTTTGTCTATAGCTTTGTCCACCAATTTCAACTATCAGACCGCTGAGATAGCCAAATTCCGTTTGACGATATTACAAGTCAGCATAATACCAGCATCACATTTTGTTGCGTTCAACTTCAAGAGTGTCTACTAAAAAAGCTGGCCAAAAATAAGTACTTTTTTAGTACATTCTCAAGAAATTCCGTACCTCCTTAAGATTAAACATTCAGCACTTTTTCAGTACCTCCAATTGACAAAATTCGAAAAATTTCAATAATTTGAATTTCTCGCTCAAATTGCGACAAAAATGACAAAAAACGGAAAATTCCGGACCTTATTGCGGAATTTCCGCACTTTTTCAGTACTTCCGGACCGCCCTTAAAAAATCAGTACTTTTTCCGTACTTTCCGGAAATTCCGGACTTGTAGACACCCTGACTTCCTATCCAACTTTACGTGCGCTTTTATTTTATGAAAAGTTCGACCGCCGGACTCGGGCTTGAGGCCCATTTTTTTCACGGCGCCAGGTGAAGTTTCCACAGCGGACGGTGCCGAGTCGGCAGCGTGGCTCCGGAGATAGAGTTACCGGAGCGGATCCGATCGGGTGGCTCGGCTATGATTAATGTATGCAACCTCACGCAAAATCCCCGGCGTCCGGCCATCCCAGATTCGCGCTAAACAAACTGAGCGCGAGCCAACCGCCCTCGCCCGGCCAAATCACCTATCCCCCAGGAGCAATCCTATTCATATCCGTCGTTTCTCCCCGAAGCCGGCGCCTTGTCAACAAGTGCTCTCCAACTCGGGGCCGCGGCGAAGTCCCCCTCATCGATAACCGGATCGCGCCGGGAGCCGAGTGCCAACCCGACACTCCAACTTTCAAACTTCTCGCCGCGGTGTCGCTGTGGCGCCCGACGCAGAGAGGCAAAGTTCCTGACCTTCTTATCCTCATAAAAGGCCATTGTGCGGTAGGGCACTTGAGGTGAATTTACCCTCGACTGTATTGGGAAATCTTCAGCGCGGGGACCGGGGTATCTTGGTTGCTTTTTGATTTATTTTTTGGTAACGTCGAAACTTTGTGCATGAGATGCTTGCAGTTACTGTGGAAAAATGGATCGGTGAGCCAGAAGTTACGTGAGTGATTTCACGATAAAAGGAATAGTCGCGTCGTCGTGGGCACGACGGCTAAAAGCAAAACGATCGAAAACCAAGTTGATAGATCTATAGGAATGATGTCCCTGATGCGATTAAACTCCAGTAGATAATGCTTCTTTGGGTTGATGCATGAAAAAACTATCATTGCTTTGTCAGGAGTTACTTTCAGTCATTTTTGTGGTAAACGTCATATTCTGCAGGAAATTTTGTTGAGAAAGCACATGCCGTAATGCGTAAATTCGCACCTTGTCCAGTGGTCCATTCGGGCCGAGTAAAAAATACACTTGAGCTACATTTTGCAATAAGAAACTACTATTTCTGGTTCAGTTCAGAAGTAGCATTTGTGCATTTGGTCCCTCGTGCAAATAGGTGCTTCTGCAGAGCAGGTGGAAATAGTACTGCCATGCTATTGAAAAACGCCGTAAGAACATTAGAGCGTCGCCGAATTTCCTCCAACAGGATGTTTATTTTTTGGGTGTTCTTATGAATATTTTGTCTTGACATTTTCAGAAAATTTAGATCTGATCGCGAATACGATTCTCTGAAAATTTAAAAGAGATTTCACAAATTTTCCTGAAAATTTACATTTTATTTGAGAAGATTTGGCAACGTCTGAAGGCTCACACGGCATTTTTTCTTAGCACGACAGAGTACAGTTCCACATTGCAAAATGTAGCTCACTTGATAGGAAATTAGGAAAGAAATGAAGAGAGGGATGAAAAGTTGCTTACTTGCAGATATGGTCGCCCCTGAAGTTGGGCTGGCGGAGGTCGATGAAGACGACCTGGGGGTTGGACTGGAGGATGACGTCACGCGTGGCCTCTTCTGTGGCCGCGGTGAAGAGGCAGTAGCCCAGACTCTCGATCGTCGACTTGAGCGTCGCGAACACCCCATCTTCCCGCGATGTCGCCAGTAATACCTGCACAGAGAAACGACCAAAACCAAATCAATACAACGTCATCAATAAATCATAGTTCAAGAATACTTGAATACAAGATACTTTCCTCCAATTTTGAGGTTAAACCCTTAATGAAAACTTATGGCCTTATTCATGGTTGTTCCTTAAACAGCTCCTTTCTCAGAAAGCCCTATATTGTCATCTTCCGGCCAAAGTATCACAAGCACCAAGCGACGTTTCGAAATTTCCGCCACCATTTTATGTCTTTTTACAGAGAAATTTTGTTCAACGAAGCTGTCCGGAAACACTGAATTCTCTTTACGCTGCCGATAAAACTGAGAGAAATTTTCAAACAGATTCAACCAACAAATTCTCTGTAAAAAAATAAAATGGAGGCGGAAAATTTGAAACGTCGCATGGCGCTTGTAATATAATTTGACCGGTAGGGGACGAATGATTTACACTGTGATTATGGTTCGAAGAAGTTATTGAACAATAGAATCCGAGGATCGACAGTTTTTGTAAACCCCGAGAAAAATTCAGTATTATAACTCTGTACATGGATCTGAACAAAAGATGCAGTGCAGTGATTAGCTCTTACAAATTAGCCACGAAGGAAGAGAATACCGAAGCGCCTTCACTTGATTGAGTATGCAATACGGACAGCTTCCGAGCTCGAATAGTTGTATCAAACGTTATAAGCTGAGTCTCATCGAGCTCCTGCGTTTTTCCGGCCACAAACGATCGGAGAAGGTAGGAACGAGATTAGAGGACAAGACAGTATTTCAACGAAGAAGATAGGTACAAAAAGACGAAGCGTACAAAATAATTAATTATCATTCTTTGTAAAAATTCAGTTTCTTTGCGACCAAATACGAGAGTAACATCCTACTAATCTTTATATTAAAATATCAACGGTGACAATTTTCTGTATTCGAATAAATGCGAAATTCTGTTTTTAGTGTTTTGACTGTTTTTAACGAGATTAATGGTTCCCCTCCGCTAAACATGACCCAACGATCCTTAGGTCGGATGGAGAATCTGATAATTTGTTTGGATCTGTCATGTTTACGCTGGGAATTTTCGTGAATCTCAAATTAAACGAAAGAGTGAGATCCACCTTCCTCGTTTCATTGACAAAGAACACGATTTGAAGTTAATGCGGGCGTACACCTTTGATCCGGTGTCTTAAAAGAACATCACTGACTTGAAGCTCAAGAGCGATGAGTTTGAGCAGGGAGCACCCGTAACATCTGAGGAAACTCGTTTTTGATTTCGTCGTCCTTGGGGAGGGGGCATGACAGTCGGTCCCCAAAGAGTTCAGATACTTTATCGTGGACAAAGGGACGTGCCCGGCTTTTTAAACAGGGCGCAACCCCTTCAAAAACCCGTTTCAACCCCCCTGGTGCCATGTTTCGAGCGTACCCGACCATCGTACAGGATGATTTACAATTAAAACGTCAGATTCTGCAATGGACCCTTCGGATCACTGGAAAAAAGGGTACTCGGCTTAGAGCACGATGCTTCTTGAATTTGCCGCCAGGAATTTTTTCGCTTGATTCAAGCTGAATTTTTCTTGATACAAGAAAAATAATGCTTGGTTAAGCAAAAAAGTAGTTTATAGTATGCAGCAAAATTCTTGATTTAAGAGAAAATACCTTTTGGCGGAAAATTTAAGAGTTTTGTTTCAGTGATCGAAATAGACTTTTCTACAGCACATCAGTTATTTTGGAATCACCATCTTTTGAAGTTGAGGTGGAGGTAATGTATGTGTTCTACACTGTGGCAAAGTTAATCGATCAAATTACACAAAAATGACACAAAGGACGACATCTAAGTAATTCAGTTGGACTGCATTTTACAATAATTAAGAGCTACTTTTTCTAGCTTACTTTAGAAACAACAATAGTGCCAATACTTTCCCTGTGCAGATTACCTCTTAATATTGTGCAAATAAGAGCTTTTATCGCTGAGCCAAAAACAATAGTTCCTAATTGGAAAATGCAGTCCAATTAATTAAGGATGGAAATGGTTCTTTCAGAGGTCTAAACTTAAACACGGAATTCATCAAATTTTATATACCTTCAAATTCTCCACTCTTTTCTTAATCGAATTTAAAATCTTCGAACAAAATCTTGAATTATTCTGTCCGATGTCACGAAATCCAAAGTTACATTCCAAATTTGGCAACTTTTTCGATGCATTGTACAGTTTTGGCGCGTAAGTCGATCGAAATAAACCCCATTTTTGGTAGAAATAGGGGCAGTGCATGTTGAGCTCATGCACGTCCATCTTCGTTAACGGAGGAATTTTGAGGGATATCTGCTACGAGGTCGATTAGCGCTGTCGAGTGGGAATCCAGCGATACATCTTTTTAATTAACCTTCGTGACTTCCCTCGTGAGTCGTGATGGCGAGATACTCGCGAGGGGAGCGCGTGTCTCGCACTCGGATCCCACCGAAATTCTCTCCCACCGAACTGACTTTCATCGTCGAGGAAATTGAGGGCCTAGCCAAACCCTGCAATACTGTGATGCAGAAATTGTCGCTCCTCTGACTTAAGAGCGTATCTCAATTTCCAGGTGACCCCTGCTGTCCGTATAACCCTAGGCTTTCTGGGGCTCAAGTGAAGATAGAGATACGCCCTTACGTCAAAGGAGCGACGAAATGTGACCATCCACCGGGAAGAAAAACTATTAAAAAGGGATTTCTCGACTAAAATCATACATAAAATAATTGAATCAGTGAGTTCGAAAACACACCAACTCGGGTTTTTTTAGATTTTCACTTTTTTACGGTTTCGTAACAATTATGGATAGAAGTATCTGCACGCAAAAGGAAATTTCGAAATTGCAATCGGAAGTGCTCGAAACAGCGATGGGAAAAGGGAAAAATCGAAGTATTTCATAGAACATTTTTGGCCATTTCAAGGGAAACGCGTGATCATCCGATTTTGCGGTTTTCTTTTTTCGGTTCAGTATACCTCGTACCAACAAGTTTTATATAGACATTCAAGCGTTATTCAGGTCAAAAAATATAAATTTTTCAGGGCAGACTATGAAAAATCAGTATCTGAAAGTCGGTGAGAACAAAAACGCACCAACTCGGAAATTTTTAAACTCTTCATTCTCTGTCATCAAACATGGTGTATCGATTTCAACATGGTGCTTCACAATGTCTCTAAGTACTTGTCCTTTGGCACCAAAAAGGTTTTTCTTAAACTAACTTCTTCGCCTGCTGCGCAGTTTCAGGTGTTTCCTGAACAATTTTTTTTCCGAGTTGGTGTGATTTCGAACTCACTGATTCAATTAAAACTCTTAGAAATTAGAATTCCGATAAATATGTATGACTTCGGAACTAATTATTACAATAACTACTTGTAGATTGAACATTTGTTTTACATGCTTAGTGGGGTTCATGCGGGAATCGAGATACATCCTCACGCCAGAGGAGCGACGAAATGTCGATTAAACGTGCTCAAAGCGGCAACTCTGCCGTGCGTAAACGAAAGCTCCGGGGTAGTGCGTCGATCTTTCCATTCAAATTTGATGAAAAGCGTTGTTTCTAATGGGGCATGACGCTTCCCGGGAAAAGCCACCCCCACCCTATACCCTCCCCCTTCCCTAACTCCCCAAAGGAGCTTTACCGTCAGGATACACATTTAGCATTTTTTCTACGTCTCACTTTAACGAGATCTTGCCCCATCAAACGACGGGACAGAGTGGCTGTTCCGCGTGTCAAGGATCGTATTTTAATGACTAAATCTTACTTAAATGCCTCTTTGTCCTCTTTGTCTGACGCCTCCGCCTATCAATTGCAACAATCAGCCCCCTTCTACACTTTCCAAGAGTCTCACGGTGGGTCAGGTATAAGCCTTTGGATTTTCGCACGAAAAATGCACAAAAATGCTCAAAATTGGTTCCAGAACTGAGGAAGTTTGCTTTGCTATGCGATTTAGGTGAAGTTCCCGGTGATGCAAGAAAATCGACGGCGAGACTACCAGACCACGTATCTCGTTTGCGGTGTCTAAAAATCTCCGCTTTCAGTTCATATTTTTGAAGGAGAACAAATCAATATCATTTCTTGAAGTTTTCTCAGAACTTACTTCGCACTGAGAAGGAAAACCACGTAAGTTTCGAAGAATTGGTGTTGACAATGAGTAGTTTTCTATTTAGTTATCCAAGTATGACAGATAGTCTGCAATGTCGCAAACCGAGATACTTGGTCTGTGGGCTGATTGTTGAAATTGATAGACAAAGCTACAGACAAATAGACAAAAGTGATATGGAGGGATCCTATTGGTTGAAACGGGTAGTTCTGATAGACTAAGGGTGGAAATGATGGACTAACTTAAGGTATCTCGCGAGTTGCCGTTGGTTAGTCTATTGCCTACCTCCTTTGTCCATTGAAACCACCCTCTCCCAACAAATAGGATCCCTCCATACCCCTTTAGTCTTCTTTGTCTGCAGCGTTTTCTATCAATTTCAAAAATCAGCCCGCTGGTAGTTCACCGTCGAAATATGATCTCATTTTCTGGCCTTTTAAATCATCTACCCACAGTCCAACTTTTTTTTATTTCCCGGCAATTGGCGGTTCCGGACAGCCGACATTACACTTAAATTGGACTACATTTTGCAATTTGAAACTATAAATTCTAGCCTGGTTTAAAAACAACGTATGTGCCATTATTTTCTCTATGCACATAAGTGTTTCTCCAGAAGAGCTAGAATTTATAGTTCCAAATTGCAAAGTGCTGTCCAATTGGTTAAGACAACCAGAAGTGGATTCTCCTCGAGTAACTACCAATCGAGACAGTGACAAGGCGTGAATGATAGATTAACGATATTTTCCCGTTGGAGACTATGTTAAAGAATCGATTATTGAGGTTTTCGTTGCGAACACCTTGTCTATCGATCCTAATCCATAGGTTCGAACCGCAGATCAATCGATACATCGTAAAATACGCCACGCCACTGGATCCGCTAAGCCAGACCAGGGCCGGATTTACTTACTTGCCGCCAT